AGTTGGCGACCTAAAAATATAACTTGATGCAGCTGTCTTGTGTTCCTTGCAGTTGATTAATTCAACGTTTTACGTTGCACAAAACCTAAATACAGAACAGACAAGCAAACACATCAAATAGACATAAACATTGTCTTCTCTGATACACAAACTCAACAACAGGGAATATTTAAAATGCTTCTGTAAACAATTATTAGTGGTTAAAACAGAAGATAATATCATTGACTATGCACCTACTTCTAAAAATATTTATGTTTACTATTTCTAATGTTTATGTTTACATGGGAACACATAGGTGCAGGTTCTCACTGAGTCCAGAAGTGGGCAATGGATCCCCTGGAGTGAGAGTTAAAGGTGGTTGTGAGTCACTCACTGTCAGTTGTGGGAGCAAAACTGGTCCCCTGCCAAAAGTGGGAAAGGTTTTAACCTCTGAACCCTCTCACCAGCTGCAATTCTTAAAGGATACGCTTACAGGGAGTGGAAGATACAAAATGGGCAGAATATGGACATTAATGTTTACAGTTGCAGAGAGTAGGAAAGAAGGGAGTTTTTGTAAGCTATAGTGGTTGGAAGAAGAATGACACTCATAGGAGTATATGTTTCAATACGTGGTTCCCAGTCGGTACAACTGTTTAAGAAGTGTTAGGACTGAACAAGACTCCCGAATGTGGGTGTCAGTGAGGAGGCCTAGGCAATCTATTGGACCTTGGGTAGTAGATCAGTATTTATCCCTGGCATATAAATGGACTTTCGGTGCCCATCCCACAATGAGAGATGCACTCTCAGCCTGGATTCTTGGAGGAGGGTCTAGGCCCTGATCTGGATGAAATGACAGACTATGGATACCCCCTTGGATGGCCTCACCCTCCCTAGGGAAATGAGGGGTTATTGGAGTTGGTGGTAGGGCATGGGAGGAGGGGAGGGAAAGGTAGACGGACCAGGGATTGACATGTGAGACAACCTTGTTTCTAATTTAAATTTAAATTTAAAGATTAAAAAAAGAAAAAGAAAGAAATTAATTAAAAAAAGAAGGGTTAGGAGGTGTGGTATTGTTGGAGGAGGTATTGGAGGCATGTCACTAGGGATGGGCTTTGAGCTTTCTAAAGAACTGCACTGTCTCCTGTGTACCTCTATGCCTCCAGCTCACATGAAGATGTGAGCTCTCCCGTTGTTTCCCCCCACAATGCCTTTTCTCTGAGCCATCATAGGCTCTAACTCTCTGAAACTGTAAGCCCGGTAGAATCTTTTCTTTTGTAAGTTGCTTTGTTTGTATAGTTTTGTCACAGCACTAGAAAAGTAACTAAGACATAAGCAAATCTGGTCTTGATGCTGATTTATGTTTGTGTGATATGGGATAGTTAGTTAACTAGTAGTTTTGGACCTATAAAAAAGAAGGAGTGGGGGAAATTAGTATACTAATCAGTTAGTTTCCAGATATACACTCAGCAAAACTAATGGAACAGACAGCCCTGTTAGAGAACTGATCTCCTTGCAATATGCCAGGGCTCCTCACTCCACATTGCTGAATACCAGGTGCAGCAGAGAAAAACGCATATGCCTGTTTGGGCTGGGAACCTTCTGATTAGATTTCCTGGGTGTGAGCATGAATTTAATATACTGAAAATTAACACAGGAAATTCCTAACAGCATAGAAAACTTGAAAGCACAAGATGCAGTTATAAGTCAAGTCTTAGTCATGCACATTCTCTGAGCATTTTAGAGCAAGAAAGAGATTTATTGTGTATGTGCTTCTCACCCGAAGCTGTCACAATTCTCTCCCTCTCTCTATCTCCTTGTTCTTATGTGAGTGTATGTATTTGTGTGTGTGTGTGCGTGTGTGTGTGTGTGTGTGAGTGTTTGCATGTTCACCAGCTAAAGGGCAAGTCAGGTCTCAGAGTTAACTTCTTGGATAAACCTGTAGACTATTAAAGGAAAAACTTGAAAAGAAAAAAGAAGACTGAATAAAAACTTAGAGCATTTTAGGGGTGTTTAACCTTGGCTTATACTTCAGCCAACAGAGTGCTTAGAAGTCACACTAACTCCCATCAGTCCTCTGTCTGTCTGTCACAGCAGTTCTTTTCAACATGTTTTCCTTTGCAGCCTTTCCCTTTATTCTACTCCACTGTTTCCTTTTTAAGTAATGTTTGGTATTTTCAGTTTAAAGTCTCCAGATGCACTTTCCTTTAGGCAGAAAATATTGTTGAATAGAATTCAATCTATGTCCAATAAGAATTAATGTAAGTGTGAAAGTCTTAAAGAGTGACATTTTCTGTATTCCATCAGGGGAAGTTTTAACTGCATCTAATATTAAGGTGTTGAAAACACATTTCCCTCAAATTCTGTGACTTCTCACATCAACTGGATTTGTTCTGGTCTAATATCAGGCAGCTTGCAGTAGTTATAAATAAACACGGTAGACAAGGGAAAGTAGAGGAAAAAAGCAAATGAAAAGAATAACAGCTTCTCATTCATTTAGCAGATATTCTATTACGCGTTTCCTGAGAGACTGTCACTCTTTGATATTTGGGGACAGATGCTGATATGGAGCTTCAGAGTTCATTTGAGAGACACACTGGGAATGAGATATTATTTCAATGTCATTTTTGGGGTGCTACTATAACCTCCTGGTTATATGACAGAAAGTACTTACCCAAGCAGGAAAGTCAAGGGAGTTCTCTGAAATGAATTGTTTTTAGGTTATAATGGTTGAAAGATGAAACTAATACTCTTTGAGCTCTTCATAAATTCCTCACATTGTGCTAAGTGCTTTTGTGTATTTTACAATTGTATCAAACATTTGGAGTGCTAAGTAGCACAATGCTTTCCTTCCTTCAGAGACAAAATGGAACACTGTTGAATTATATGACTTGAAATCCAAGAGCTCAGTCAGGATGCACTTGAGTTTCAAGTTCAAGTTGACCTCACATCAGTGCCTGTAACTCACACCGTGAAGAAGTTACATTCAATAAATCTCAAAAAAATGCAGTCCAGATATTTCCCCTAGCAATAATTCGGATGAATATATTCATACAAATAGCCATATATGCTGATATCCAAAGCTCACATTTAAAAGATGAATGTAATACTATAAAATGCAAGTGTGAGTCTTTGATTTAGCAGGATAAATACTTCTTAAACTTCTCTTGAGAAGACAAACTGAGATGAAAGGTTTGTGTAGGGATATACTTCACTAAACACATGCTCTACTGACATGATTCCATATTTTTCTTCTAGGTGGAAAAGGCTCATTTTCTTTTGTTTGCCCTCACTCTGTGTGTTGAGGGTATGCCATCAATGTGGACACATGTCATTTTGCTATCCTTGTTGCAGTTTTATCTGTTGTTTCTGATTTATGAGTTGGTGTTGCTTCATTGACCTGGGGTGCTGTATTAATAGTTAACACATAGGGATTTAGAAGGAGGAAGCATTTTTCCATTAATGACTAAATGAAAACAGACTTGAGATTCAAATTAAATACTAATTAGCCTCCTTCCCCCACATTGTAAATATTATTCTGCTATTCTATGTTTTAGAACCTATAAAATGTACATTATAAACACTATCCTTGTTTGCTTTTGGTTTAATTTAAAGTTTATTAGAAAAACAAACAAATAAAAATTAAAACAACTGCTCAGTGTTGGCCTACACTCTGCTTAAGGTGAGTGTGGGCTCTGCTAGGGGTCCAACTCCCCATATCCCCAACTCCTTGGATCTTCCTGGCACTGGTTCTGGAACAGAGTGGACCAGCCCCAAGCAGAATGGACAACACTGAATCTGGCCACACCTCACTCTTGGCCCCTGTATGCCCTCCCCCTCTGCTCTCTGCCCTCTGCTTGACTGAGGAAAACACCAGGAGAGATCAGATCATCCAGAGCTCAGATACTGAAGTATTGGTCCACCAATAAATACCACAGGGAGACTAGAGGAGAGGAAGAGACCCCACCTGCACCCATGGGAAGACGATAGTATAAGAACACACTCAACAACAGAAAGACCAATAAAACACTGCCAGAATCTAGGGACTCCAAACCAACAAAACCTGAAAAGCCCAACATAGATGAAGCAGAAGAGAAGAACCTTAAAAGCTATATTATGAAGATGATAGAGACCCTTAAAAAGGAAACGGGAAAATCCCTCAAAGAAACAGAACAAAAAACAAACAAAATTACATGAAATGGAGGAAAAGACAAACCAAAAAAAATTCAAGAAATAAATCAATCTGTTAAAGGATATTAAAAAAAAAACAAGAAAAAGCAACCAAACAAGTGAATGAAACAATTCAAACAGTTCAAGGCTTGAAAGCTGAAATAAAAACAACAAAGAAAACACAGAATGAGGGGATGCTCGAAATCAAAAATCTGGGTAAATGATCAGGAAGTACAGATGTAAGTATAACCAATAGAATACAAGAGATGGAAGAGAGACTCTCAGGTGTTGAAGATTCACAAGAGGAAATACTGTCATCGACCAAAGAAAATATCATGTTTAACAAATCCCTAACACAAAATATCCAGGAAATATGGGCCACCATGAAAAGGCCAAACCTAAGAATAATAGGTATAGAAGGAGAAGAAAGTACTGGAAGGAAAACTCCAACCCAATGATGATAACTATATTCACAAAAATATAGCCAATATGTAATCCCACTTTTCCAAACACCAAAATAAAAAAAGCAGGGGGGTGGGGAGGAATCCTAACACCATCAACAACAAATTCAAAACAAACAAGAATCAACAATCATTAATATCCCTCAGTGAAAATGATCTTAACTTGCCTATAAAAAGAAAAGGCTAACAGAATGGAAATGAATACAGAATCCATACTTCTGCTGCTTTCAAGAAATATACCTCAAATTCAAAGACAGATATTCCCTCAGAGTAAAGGGTTAGGAAAAGATTTTCCAATCAAATGAACCCAAGAAACAAGCTTGTGTAGCAATCCTAATATCTAACAGATTAGACTTCAAACTAAAATCAAAAGAGATAAAGAATGCTCTTCAGAAATCAGGAGTCACACCTGGAGCAGCAATGACACACAGCATCACTGGTATTCGGATATCAACATCACCTATGTGAACTATTATCTTCACCAGCCTCAAGTGGCAGCGATCTTCATTAGTTCCTACTTCCTGATCTTTTTCCTGTGCACGGTGGGAAATACTATAGTTTGCTTCATTATAATAAGGAACAAACACATACACACTGTCACTAATTTCTTCATCTTAAACCTGGCGATAAGTGATTTGTTGGTTGGAATATTCTGCATGCATCACATTGCTGGACAACATCATAGCAGGATGGCCATTTGGAAGCAACATGTGCAAGATCAGTGGGCTGGTGCAGGGCATATCAGTTTCAGCCTCAGTCTTCACCTTGGTTGCAATAGCTGTGGACAGCTTCTGGTGTGTCGTCTACCCCTTTAAGCCAAAGCTCACAGTCAAGACAGCCTTTGTCACTCTTGTGATCATCTGGGGCCTGGCCGGTGCCATTATGTCTCCATCTGCAGTAATGTTACATGTACAAGAAGAAAAATACTACTGTGTGAGACTCGGCTCCCACAACAAAACCAGCACGGTGTACTGGTGTCGGGAGGACTGGCCAAAGCAGGAAATGAGGAGGATCTACACCACTGTGCTATTTGCCACCATCTACCTGGCTCCCCTCTCCCTCATTGTGGTCATGTATGCAAGGATTGGGGCTTCCCTCTTCAAGACTTCAGCACACTGCATGGGCAAGCAGCGCCAGGAGCAGTGGCATGTATCCAAGAAGAAACAGAAAGTCATCAAGATGCTGCTTATTGTGGCCTTCCTTTCCTGGCTGCCCCTGTGGACTCTGATGATGCTTTCAGACTATGCCGACCTGTCTCCTAATAAACTGCGTGTCATCAACATTTATATCTACCCTTTCGCCCACTGGCTTGCCTTTTGCAACAGCAGTGTCAACCCCATCATTTATGGTTTCTTTAATGAAAATTTTCGCAGTGGTTTCCAAGACATGCTCCAGGTCTGTCAAAAGAAAACAAAACCCCAGGAAGCCTATGTCCTAAGAGCTAAAAGCAAGATGGTAATAAACACATCTGGCCTGCTGGTCCAGGAACCTGCATCTCAAAACCCAGGTGGGGAATATTTGATGTGTGGGAAAAGTGCTGAAAATCCCACACAAGAATCCCTGATGGAAGAAATGGGAGAAGCTACTAACAGTTCTGCAGCTTAAAAAAGAGCGCGGGTCCCCAGTGCTACCCAGTGTTATGTAGTATATGAGTGTGAATATGTCTTTAAATACTGCTGCTTATTGTGGCTTTGCATTTCTAGTATTCTGATGAAAACCTTTACAGAAAGCCCATTTGTCAAAAATTTAAAAGTATAAAAATGCCTTCCTAAAAAAAAAGAGATAAAGAATGGCACTTCATATTCATCACAGGAAAACTCCATCAAGACTAAGTCTCAATTCTGAACATCTATGTCCCAAATACAAAGGAACCCACATTCGTAAAAGAAACATTACTAAACCTCAAATCACACATAAAACCTCACATACTTATAATGGGAGACTTCACCCCACTCTTACTAGTGGACAGGACCACTAGACAGAAACTTAACAAAGACACAAAGGAACTAACAGAAGTTATGAGCCAATTGGGATTAACAGACATCTGTAGAACATTCCATCCAAACACAAAAGAATATACCTGGAACTTTCTCTAAAATGGACCACATACTCAGCAACATAGCAAACATCAACAGACACAAAAAATTGGAATAACCCCCTGTATCTTATCAGATTACCATGTTCTAAAGTTAGAATTCAACAACAACACAAAATGCAGAAACCCTACAAACTCATGGAAATTGAACAATGCCTAATTGTATAATTCCTGGGTCAATGAAGAAATTAAAGACTTCTTAGAATTCAATGAGAATGCAGACACAACATACCCAAACTTATGAGAGACTTTCAAAGCTGTATAAAGAGAAAAATTCATAGCACTAAGTGCACACATGAAGAAATCGGGGAATAGTTACACAGAGAATTATCAGCACAACTGAGAGCTCTAGAACAAAAAGAAGCAAACTCACCCTGGAGGAGTAGATGCCAGGAAATAATCAAAATGAGGGCTAAAATCAACAAAGTAGAAACTAGGAAAACAATTCAAAGAATCAATGAAACAAAGAGCTGGCTCTTTGAGAAAATCAACAAGATATACAAACCTTTACCCAAACTAACGAAAAAGCAGAAAGAGAGCATGCTAATTAACAGAATCAGAAATGAAAAGTGGGACATAACAATGGAAACTGAGGAAATCCAGCGAATCATCAGGTCATACTTTGAAAACCTGTACTCTACAAAATTTGAAAATCTAAATGAAATGGACAATTTTCTGGATAGATATAAGTTACCAAAATTAAATCAAGAACAGATAGACTACTAATGAAATAGAAGCAACCAACAAAATCTCCCAAACATAAAATACCCAGGGCCAGATGCTTACTGTGCAAAATTCTACCAGACTCAAAGAATAGCTAACACTAGTGCTCCTCAAATTGTCCCACATTACAGAAGCAGAAGGGACATTGCCAAACTCTTTTTATGAGGCTACAATTACCTTGGTACCCAAACCACACGAAGACACAGCTAAGAAAGAGAACTTCAGACCAATATCCCTCATGAACACTGATACAAAAATACTTAACAAAATACTTGCAAATCAACTCAAAGCACACATCACAAAAATTATACAATGTGATCAAGTAGGCTTCATCCCAGGGATGCAGGGATGGTTCAATACACAAAAATCCATTAATGTAATCCATCATACAAACAAACTGCAAAATAAAAACTACATGATCATCTCACTAGAGGCTAAAAAAAAACCTTTGACAAAATCTAACACCCCTTCACGATAAAGGTCTTGGAAAGATTAGGGATAACAGGAACATACATAAGCATAATAAAAGCAAAAAACAGCAAACCAACAGCCAACATCAAACTAAATGGACAGAAACTCAATGCTATTCCTCTAAAATCCGGAGAAAGACAAGACTTTCCACTCTCTCCGTATCTCTTCAATATATTGTACTTGAAGTTCTAGTTAGAGCAATAATAAGACAACAAAAGAGATCAAGGGAATACAGATCAGAAAGGAAGAGGTCGAAATTTCACTATTTGCATATGATACGATAGTTTACATAAGTGACTCAAAAACTCCACACAGGAACTCTTACAGCTGATAAATACCTTCAGCAAAGTCGCAGGATACAACAATAACTCAAAAAAATCAATAGGCCTATTATATGTAAACAATAAATGGGCTGAGAAAGAATCAGAGAAATGTCAACCTTTACAATAGCCACAAACAACATAAACTATTTTGGGGTAACACTATCCAAACAAATGAAAGACTTGTATTGCAAGAACTTTGAGTATTTAAAGAAAGAAATTAAAGAAGATACCAGAAAATGAAAAGATGTTCCATGCTCTTGGATAGGTAGGATCAACATAGTAAAAATGACAATCTTGCCAAAAGCAATCTACAGATTCAATTCAATCCCCATCAAAATCCCAACTCAATTCTTCACAGACCTTGAAAGAACAATATGGAAAAACAAAAATGCATGATAGCTAAAACAGCCCTGTACCATTAATCAACTTCCGGAGGCATTATCATCTATGACTTCAAGCTCTATCATAGATTCATAGTCCATAAAACAGCTTGGTATTGTCACAAATGTAGACAGGTAGACCAATGGAATCGAATTGAAAATCCTGATACTAACGCACATACCTACAAACACCTGATTTTTGACAAAGAAGCTAAAGTTATACAATGGAAACAAGAAAGCATCTTCCATGAATGGTGCTGGTATACCCGATGTGGTCATGTATAAGATTGCAGATAGATCCATATCTATCGCTATGCACAAAACTTAAGTGCAAATAGTTCAAAGACCTCAACATAAATCCAGCCACACTGAAACTCTTAGAAGAGAAAGTGGGAGGTACCCTTGAATGAATTAGACAGATGTCTGCTTCCTGAGCATAACACCAGTAGCACAGAGATTGACATCAACAATTAATAAATGGGACCTTCTGAAACTGAAAAGCTTCTATAAGGCAAAGTACACAGTCAACAAGACAAAACAGCAGCCCACAGAATGGGAAAAGATCTTCCCCACCTCCACATCTAACAGAGGGCTGATTTCCAAAATATACAATGAAGTCAAGAAGCTAGCCACCAAAACAGCAAACAACCCAATTAAAAAGTGGGGTGCAGAACTAAATAGAGCATACTCAGTAGAGGAATCCAAAATGGCTGAGAGACACTTAAGAAATTGCTCAACATCTTTAGCTATCAGGGAAATGCAACTCAATACAACTCTGAGATACCATCTTACACCAAGTAGAATGAATAAAATAAAAAACACCAATGATAGTCTATGCTGGAGAGGATGTGGAGAAAGAGGAACACTCCTCCATTGCTGGTGGGAGTGCAAACTTGTAAGACAACTTTGGAAATCAGTATGGTGGTTTCTAAGGAAAATGAGAAAAAGTCTACCTCAAGATCCAGCAAGTCCTCTCATGGCATATACACAAAGAATGCACATCATACAACAAGGACATATGTTCTGCTATGTATATAGCAACTTTGTTTTTAATAGTCAGAAACTGGAAGCAACCTAGATGGCCTTCAACCAAAGAATGGATGGAGAAAATGTGGTACATTTATACATGGATATTAGAAGTAGAGCAAAGGACTACCAGCCTATAATCCACACCATTAGAAAAACTAGGAAACAAAGAAGACCCAAAGAGAAGAAGGCATGGTCCCCCAAAGAAGGTGAGGGGGACAAGAACCCCTGAGCAAATTGGGAGCATGGGGTGGGTGAGAGAAGGCAGGTGGGAAGGGGAAAAAGAGCGAAGGTGAGGGGGAGGAGAATAGGAGATAACAGGGGAACTGAGAAGGGAGGAATAGAGGAGGGCTAGAACGGAGATGCCTTGATTGAGACTACCTTCATTACTATTCCTAGAGCCTTGACCCAAGCAGATCTGATCGAAGCAGAAACAGACACCCACAGCTAAACATTGAGCCATACTCCTGGAATTTAATTGCAGAGAAGGAGGAGGCAAGACTGTGCTGGAGAAACCCACAAAAACAGTTGACCTGACCTAGTGAGAGCACGTAGACCCGAGTCGTAAAGCTGGAGAACCAGCATTGGACGAAACCAACCCTTATGAATGTGGGTGCCAGCTATGAGACCAGGGCAGTCTATGGGACCTCTGACAGTGGATTCAGTGTTTATCCCTAGTGAACAAATGGACTTTGGCTGCCCATTCCCTATGGAGGGGTACCATTGCAACCCAGATACAAGAAAGAGGTCTGAACCCTCCCTCAAATGATGTGAGGGACTTTGATGGTTCCCCATGGAGGACCTCACTATCTTTGGGGAGTGGATGTGGGGTAGGTTGGAGGGGATGGTGGGGAGCATGTGAGGATGGGAGGACGAGGGAATGGGGGGATATGTAAATAAGAGTGCTTCTAAAATAAAATAATTAGAACAACCAACCAACCACTGCCACCACCACGACCACCACCAACACCACCAAAAATCTAACTAGAAGTCATAGAATTAACTTAAATATTCAGAAAGCAATGGGATTTTTATGGAAAGTATGGAGTATTTATCAATGACTGATATTTCTTTAGAAATTGAGAAAGTGCCTCATGCGTATCCATTCACTGATAGTTTTATTTATATAAATAAATAAATTCCATGCATTTCTAAAAATAACTCCATTATACATATGGAAATTTAATTTAATTGGAAAAAATTTAGTATTTCTGTTCTACCTTAGCAATCTTTAAAAAATGAAAATTTGATTCTGGGTAGTAACTATACAGTACAACAGAATTATATAGTTTAAGAAAATCATTGCTCTTACTTATTTAATAGGCCCTTTGGAAACACATGTATACACCTAGCAATAAGGTCTAGCACCTAAAATTTCTTAGGGAAAATGTAGTAAACTACCATAATGTGGTGATTTAAGATGCAGAGGTTTATTAGTTCAGATTTCTGGAGTTTAGAAATACAAATAAGATGTTCATGGACTACACTTTGTCCCTACGACTGTAGGAGAGAATTTGCCCTTTGTTCCAGGCTCCGGACATTAGTCTGCTTGTGGCTCTGGTGTGTGACTTCCATCATTGCTGTCTT